CCGACTCTCTTTCGTTACTGGAGTTCAAGAAGGGGATCGCGGGTGATCCCACTGGTGTGGTTCGCAACACTTGGAACCCAGTGGCATGGGGTTCTGCTTCGGCGGTGGATTCCTGTCCGCGGTCCTGGCACGGCGTCGCATGTGATGATTCCGGCGCCGTGATCGGCGTTGCGCTTGAAGGCCTCGCTCTCTCCGGCGAGCTCAAGTTCAGCACGATTGTCGGGATGAGGGCTCTGCGGAACCTCAGCTTGGCTGGGAATTTATTTACTGGCCGCCTTGTGCCGGCTATCGGGGCAATGTCATCGCTGCAGGTGCTTGATCTGTCGGACAACCGCTTCTATGGCCCGGTTCCGGGAAAGATAACCAATCTATGGGGACTCGTGCATCTCAATCTCTCATGGAATGGTTTCAGGGGTGGATTCCCCGCCGGGATCCGTAATTTGCAGCAGCTGAAGGTGCTTGACTTGCGATCCAATGCGCTCTGGGGTGACGTTGGGGCCATACTTTCGGAGCTGAGGAATGCGGAGCATGTGGATCTGAGCCGCAACACGTTCTATGGGGACCTTTTCATGGAGTCAAGTAATCTCTCGAGCTTGTCCAATACAGTCAAGTACATGAATCTGAGCTCTAATCGACTGAGTGGAAGGTTCTTCTCCAATGATTCTATGAGTTTGTTCAGGAACTTAGAAGTTTTGGATTTAGGACACAATCAGCTCAAAGGGGAGCTCCCTTCGTTTGGTTCCCTGCCTAATTTTAAGGTTTTTCGTGCTGGTAATAATCTGCTTTATGGACCGATTAGTGTTGATCTATTTGGGAGTGCAATGCAGTTGATGGAGCTTGATCTGAGCGGGAATGGGTTTACAGGTGAATAACTTGGCGTGTAAATGCTGGTTGTTAGACTTTTCATGGCCGATGATTTCTTACTTTTCAAATCTCTTGTGAATTATTTAGTATAATCTCTGTCTCAAACTCATCTTCTGATACAAAATGGCCACAATTAGACACAATCACCAATATCGGTTCATACATAATATCAAGCACAACCTAATGTTTATAAAAAGGCTTGACTATAGATTAGTGCTCACTGTCATCTTGCGGAACTCATACATATAAAAATCTTCATAGATAATCTAAGAACAAGGATAGGATGTGTGAATCATTGGAGTTTGAGATGGTTTATAATTGAATGATTTCTTAAAGTAATCTTGTAGAAGTTTCAAGTGATATTTTGATCCAATCATCTTGATCGATATCTAAATTATATTAACAACCATTTATCTTATAAAGATGCTTTTGACCTCCATGAAGCATGAAAACAAAATTCGTTTTATGATTCCATAGTGAATATTTAGAATTTTGAAAATTCATAGTTTTTTTTTTTGGTATTTTGATATATTCTCCGCCAATAAACCATATATCTTGAACAAATCTTAGTTTTTATCACTGACATTTTAATATATGATGAAATTATCACAAATTGAGTTAGTTTTTGAATTGACTCTGATGTTGAAAAATGAACGTGAACATGTAGGATAACAAGCCGTGTGTTGATGATTTGTTCCATATTGACATATGTTGTAGGCATGATTAGAAGACTAGCTATAATTGATTAGATATATAGACTGGATTGACGCGGCGAGTCTGATTCTAGATATGGACCTTGGGCTTGGATTAACGCATGAAGGAATGCATGTGAGGAGCACAATGCAGAGCGACAACATAAATGTGTATCACAATGGAAGTCTATGGTGCTGGGAGGATACAGAAGACCTCAATATGGTTCGGTGATGTACAATGCTTGCTCGGATATGCTATCACTTTGACAGGATAGGATGCATGAGATCTCATATAGTGCAGTTGATGGAGTGATCATGAAGGGAAAGATGCGAACAAGAACATGAGTTAATTTTATAGGAATTAAAGATCAAATCGATCACATAAGGAACATTTAGACTCGGGCAATAAGAAGAAAGAAAATCAGTATCAACAGTGTGACCTAGAGGAGGAGAGAGAACAATCATACTTCTTTGAAAAGGGTAGATTTGGAAATATCTTAATTTAACTTTTTTCAATAGTCATCCATTGTAAGTTATAAGTATGAATTTCTTATTTATAGAAAATAAGTTACATATTGATAGGCCTTAATGATTGAGATAATATGTAGACATTCAAATCTAAAGCTGATTCCATTTTTAAATTCAGTTCAATTCAAAATAAATATTTTATAAAAAGAATTTTATTTTAATTCCAAACCAAATTAAATCTGAAAGTTGTAAACTTGAAATAAATCCTAATTTCCTACATTGCATCAATGATGGTTGAATTATTATAAGGCATAAGTTCTATGTGAGACAACTTTCTATCAGCTTTCCAATTGCAATTACTTTGCTATTTAACTAACTGTTTTGTTATGTGTTTTAGAAAGCTTTATTGAGTTTAAAATTATCGTGGTCGAACTCTTAAATCCCGCCTTTTATAAGTTTAGATGCATTATGTGGTTTTACAATCCAATAATTTATAACTTCATCATTAGATATTTTGAAGAAGTCACATAACAACATCAAACAATATTTTTATAACAATTTATAATCGACTTTAAATGAAATTGTTGTTATCCCAAACAAAATCATAGCTCACTAAGCATAATTGAAAGGCCTTATGCATATAAGAAATATCTATTAAGATTTTGAGAGTTATGAGAGATAGTACAGCAATTTGCTTAACAGTTTTTTTCATTTGAATTTTGAAAACTAAGAGGATGACAAATGATTTGAGAAGAAATTTTTTGATATCATTTTTTAAAGACAAAGGTGATTGCCATTTGCCAAGATGTGTTGATTAATGAGGGATCAAACTTATGAGTTATGCAATGAAGCTGTGTGAGAGTTATAGAACACAGGCTTAAAAAACTTGCGCCAATTTTGGAGAATTAATTTGGCTTCATTATAGGAAAATATGCTATAGAAGTGATTTGTGTTAAAATGATTAATGAAGAGACACAAAGAATAATAAATTGATCTTCATATGATTTTTAATGATATCAAGAAGAATATGAAAGATAATTAGTGATGTGTAGAGAATAATATTCTTTTATTGATTTTGAGATAAATATAATAGAGTATCAAGGAAATAGAGAATAATATTCTTTTATTGATTTTGAGATAAATGTAATAGAGTATCAAGGAAGATATTTTGTGTTTTAAGATAGAAAGATGTGTCAATGATATTGATTTCGTTCTAGGGCTCCTAGAAGGTTTTTAGGAAATGGATCTAAGGGCGATGGGGGATGGGGTTGTTGGATAGTGAGGGAATGATAATCTGAGAGGCCGACTCTTTGGACGGGGATAAGTATCGTTCAACAATTGTCTCGACTGAAAACAACAAAGTGAGCTCCGAAACGATGAGATACATGTTGTGAGGAGGTTCCACCACTTTTTCTTGAGCAAGAGACACATACACCACTTGCAAAAGGAATATGATATAACACTTCAAAAAATAGAGATCAGAGGAAAGTTCATCAGAATTCATAAAATCCAAAACCGAAATCCAAACATTACTACTGTTGTAGATTCTTTCTTTTACTTTGTTCTTAGCCATGAATAGACAAAATCAAACAATACTATTATTGTAGTTCTTTTTCCTATTTTTTCTTTGTTGTAAAATATCATGAGATGATATTGTAGGAATTTCAAGAATCTAGAAGGGCTCTTTCTCTTGATAAGATTTCACTAGAATTCTTAGGTTGAACACTCAAGGTTGGGGATATAGTATTTAGTGAGTTTTTCACTTGGAAAAAAATCTTGAAATTCAGTGGACAAATCTTTGTTTTGTTCTCTTTCTTGAAGGTGAGGTGAGAAAAAGGGTTGATGTTTAAAAAAGGTAACATCCATGGTAATAAACATTTTTCTAGTAGTAGGATCAAAGCATTTTTGCCCCCTTTTAGCTAGGAGCATTATCAACAAACACATCTTTTGGCTTGGGGTTCAAGTTTTTCTTGACGTTGAATGTGAACAGAAGCAATACACTCAAATATTTTTAGATATTTAGCGAGAGAGAACATGAGAACCGATTTTTTGGAAAAAAAATTTGATAAACTTCAAAAGTTGTTTCAAAGTTTAAGATCTTATTGGGTGTTCTATTTATGAGAAACGTAGCTGTAAGAACAGCTTTGCCCCAAAAATATTTAGACACCTGATTGGTAAATAGCAAGGCACGAGCTATCTCCAATAAGTGCTTGTTTTTGCTTTGAGCCAACCCATTTTATTGTAGAGTTTCAACACAAGAGCTTTGTTGAATTACTCTTTTTTTAAGAAAGAATTGACCCAAAGTATTTTTGAAATACTCTCAGACATTGTTATTTCTTAATATTTGAATGATTTGAAATTAGTTTTGTACTATGGTGAAAATTAATTTGAAAATTATTTCCACTTCAAAATTTTCTTTCGTTAAATAAATCCAATTTTAAGAGCTAAGGATCCCGATAAACATGCTAATGAAGTTGTATTGTGACAATAAAGTTGACATAAGCATTGCAAAAAATTCAGTGCAACAAGATCATACAAAGCATGTGGAGATTGATAGACACTTCATAAAAGAGAAGATTGATTGTGAATTTATTTGTATGTTATTCATTCCCACTGCTCAACAAATAGTAGATATCTTCACCAAATGACTGTTCGGGCAAGTTGGACATAATAGATATCTATGCTCCAACTTAAGAGGGGATTTTCGATTTTTAGGAATTTTTTTAAAGTATATTATATTATTAATATATTTCTATTTCTAGAAGCTAGAATTATTGGTATGTCGTAATTCATGTTTCCTTCCTTCATCACGGGGAGTTATGGCTGACTTTACTATTTTTCTAATGTGGAAGCCATCTCCTTTATTTATCTTGTAATCGTTTTCATTGAAATGGAACATGAATAATTATTTTTTCCCTCCCCAATACTACAATATGTATGTAAATTTCCCTTTTTTTTAAACATTTGTGTGATGATATGCAACGACACAACAATAGAATTTTTACTGGTGCATATCATAAATATGGATTTCCTTATACATTTTGTAGATTGCTTAATATGGCAACTTGAAAAGTGAAAATGCTGAACATTCCTTTGAGAGGACTACTTGGATATTGGTCATGTTGGCTTCATCCTTCATTTGGTTAATGTTGTTTTCATTCACATTTTTATTATGCTCGGGGTTCTTTAAGAAAGACACGTTCATTATGTAAAGAATTAGAAAGAAAAAGATGTTCAATACTTATGAATCATGACTTTGAATTTTCTTACTTCAGGCACTCAATAATTTACTATTCATGCAGGATCCCTCCAAACTGTAAATTCTACAACTTTGAAGTCCTTGAATCTTTCTTCAAATTCATTAACAGGCCAATTACCCTCTAGTGTTGGGACCTGCTTGGTTTTGAATTTGAGTAAAAACAAACTTTCTGGAAATCTCGCCGCAATGGAAAATTGGAATTACGCATTGGAGATCATCACATTGAGTTCAAATGAGCTCACAGGCTCTCTACCTTCTTCACTAGAAAGATACCCAAATTTATCGATCGTTGATCTAAGCCTAAACCAACTTACAGGCTCTGTTCTTCAAAGCTTCTTCACATCTCCGACCTTAACGAGTTTGAATCTCTCCGGAAATCAGTTTGATGGACCAATTCCTCTTCAAGCATTGCAGCCAACAGAATCATTACTCGTATCTTCATATAATCATTTACAAAGTCTAGATTTATCGCATAATTCATTATCCGGATCATTACCCCCCGAAATCGGTACCTTGAGGAGTCTTAATCTTTTGAATCTTTGCAATAATTTGTTATCTGGTAAGCTTCCTATCGAAATAAGTAACCTTTATGAACTGGTGGTTCTCGATCTCTCCCTCAATCATTTTCATGGAGGGATTCCAGACATGGTTCCGTTCAATCTCAAGGTTTTTAATGTCTCCTATAACGATCTTTCTGGCAAAATTCCTCAAAATCTGTTGAAATTTCCAATGTCATCATTCCATCCCGGAAACACTTTACTCGTCTTTCCAAACCATCTCTATGTAGGAAAGAATAACAGCGGAGTCGTCCAAAACATGAGTCGCCGCCATCACTCTAACGCTGGCATCAGAATCGCGTTTATCTTTGGTTCCATCGGAGCGCTGATGTTCATATTTTTTATGTCCATTGCTTTCTATAAGATCAGATCCCAAAAATTTTGTTCAAAGTCTGGGTTTGGAGGAGAGGCTGCTTGTGGAAGAGATTTGAAAGATGATCCATTGCCTGCTTCGACGAGTTTTTCGAACGACCACTTATTAACATCTTCGTCTCTATCACTATTTACATCAAAGGATTTATTAACAGAAACGGCGGATAATGGGTATTCAGATCCGAGGGGCTCTAACGTCGAACGGCCATCAGGACTTGGGGAATGCAGATCTTTGCGAGGTTCTCTTCGTTCTTCTTCACCGCATTCTGTGGATTCGCATATACGCGAGACGCCGGTGGTGTTGGATGTGTACTCGCCTGATCGGCTGGCCGGAGAGCTTTTCTTTTTGGATGGTTCGTTAAGATTTACAGCGGAGGAATTATCGCGAGCTCCGGCGGAGGTTCTCGGCAGAAGCAGCCATGGGACGTCTTATAAAGCAACGTTGGATGGTGGTCATATTTTGACGGTGAAGTGGTTGCGGGTGGGTCTGGTGAAACTTAAAAGGGAATTTGGGAAGGAAGCTAGAAGAGTTGGGACTATTAGACATCCGAATATCGTCTCTTGGAGGGGATATTATTGGGGTCCTAGAGAGCAAGAAAGGCTAATTGTTTCAGACTACATCCATGGAGATAGTTTGGCGCTTTACCTGTATGGTAAGGTTCCTAATTTTATTTTAAATGGCTTTTATTTTTATTATTATTTGTTTTTTTTTTGAAAGATTTGCATACATTATACTCAATTCTTTTGTATTTACATATCTAACACTTAAAATGAAAATATGTATATCTAAAATAATGATATTTTTGATGTGATAGTAAAGATTTTGGTGATATAATTGTAAAAAGTAAAAATTTTCAATTAGTTATATATATGCATAGGAATTGAATGGTATGTATGTAAATACACACACAAACACAGAAATTTACATTCATATCACACAAATCTTATGTATTTACACACTTGCAACACTTGGATTTATAAATCTATGCATGGAAATGTGTATTTCACTTCTAAAAAGGAGTGGTGGTGATATTGTTGATGTGATGTTAAATCTTTGAGTGGTATACATGTAAATATAAATTTTTAGGTGTTAGATATATAAATATAAACGAGTTAGGTGGTATGTATGTACATGCCTCCTATATTAATTGTTTGATAACTAATGAATGCATCCCTCCTCAAAGAAATGCTCACTTTAAAAGCTTGTTTGTTGTTTCCATAGTTTTTGGGGATTATTTCAAAATTTAGGATGCAACGGCTCTCAAATCTCGTGAATTTGCTTTAAGATGAGTGTAATACATAATTTTTTAATATTTCACTCATCTCAAAGCAAATCCAAGGGCTTTGAGCCCCATCTTGATCGTTTTTTTTTTGTTAGAATATGAGGTTATTTTCTCAATCAATGCAAAAGTGGATTTATGCCAACATCCTTTTTTGGCTACCTAAATATATAGGAATTGGATGGTATGCATGTAAATGCCCCCTTTTTGTTTGGTCGCATAAATATTGAACATATCTAAATGTGAATTATTTGAGTCATGTGAATTTCTCTCCTAGCTTGATTGCCACACAATATGTCACTCAGTGATCTGTTTCGTCTGACATTTACTCTCTACGCAGAGTCGACGCCGCGCCGATACTCCCGATTATCTGTCAACCAGAGGCTCAAAGTAGCCATCGATATCGCCGGATGCTTGTGCCATCTTCATCACGACCGAGGATTGCCGCATGGTAACCTAAAACCGACCAACATATTTCTCACCGGTCCGGATCTCACACCAAAGCTCACCGATTACGGCCTCCACCGCCTCCTAACCCCCGGCGGCCTCGCCGAACAAATCTTGAATCTCGGAGCCCTCGGGTATCGCGCTCACG